GTCGTGTCGCACATCTGACGCGTCATCAGAGCCCGGTCATGGCGGGGTCAAATCGCGCCAGAAACATCGCAAGACCGCTGCATGAATGCACGGAGAGCATCGCAAGACCACCACACACGAAAGAGTCTGGAAAACGTGGAGTGGATTACAGCCTACTCCGGCCCCTACAGAGACTCACCACATCTTCCAAAGTCAAAGTAGAACTTCTGAATACACAATCCCTCAGTAATAAAGCATCCTTCATTCAAGACCACATCACTGATGAGAAAATGGACTTCATGTGCCTCACGGAAACCTGGCATCAGCCAGAGGTTTACTCCACCCTCAATGAAGCTTGCCCTCCTGGCTACAGCTACTTGGAGAAAGCCCGCAGCACTGGTCGTGGTGGAGGCCTAGCTGTCATCTACCGAAAGGAATTGGAACTGTCACTCCTGCCCCTGCCTGTATTGTCCTCCTTTGAATGCCTTGCATTTAAATATAAACCCCCCTTCGCCCTGATAATACTTCTGATCTCCCGGCCACCCAAACCCAATTCAGCTTTCATCCCAGAGATACAAGACCTCCTCACTACGCTATGCACAACCTCTGCCAATATTCTCATACTTGGAGATTTTAATATTCACGTTGACTCCCCCTCCTGCCACTTTGCCACTGAGTTTCTGCTACTTCTGGACTGCCTCAATCTCACACAGCATGTTGATGTCCCCACGCACGCCAAGGGCCACACGCTCGACCTGGTCATCACAAACTCCGCCCCCATCAGCAATCTGCTAGTGTATGACCTGGGTGTGTCTGACCACACGACCATCTCTATGGAGCTCTTTGTCCAGTCCCCACTCAAGAAGCCCAAACACCAAATCCGCTTCAGGAACCTGAGGAACATCAACCCGGACACCATGAACCTGGACTTCCAGAATCTTTCTTCCGCCAACTTCTCATCAGTAAATGAGTCAGTTGCATATTACAACCAGTCCCTTAACAGTCTCCTTGATCTGCACGCCCCCCCTCCAGGATGGTCACTTTCTCGCGCTCGGCCCCTTGGTACACCGGCGAGCTGCAGAGAATGAAGACAGCTGGGCGTGTCCTTGAGCGGCGGCTCAAGGCCTCAGGACTCACTGTTCACCGGTTAGCCTATCATGAACACCAGAAGGCCTACGCACAGTCCCTCAGATATGCACGGTCCCAGTACTACTCCATAATCAACAACAGTACTGGAAACTCCAAGCAACTCTTCTCCACCATAAACCACCTCCTCAAACCCCAAAGTCCTCTGCACTCCGACTCCACTGAGAAGCAGTGTGGCAACTTCGCCGCCTTCTTCACAAACAAAGCTGACACCATCGCCTCCATCCTGTCTAGCCCCTCTGCACCTCCAGTTCCAACTGCTGACCCACAGCCTGGGACAACCCAGCCTCTTCGCTGTTTCAAAGACATCTCTCAGCGAGAGGTTGAGGGCATCGTTAGGAGGATGAAGGCCTTCACCTGTGTCCTGGACCCCCTTCCGTCAGCTCTTGTGAAATCATACACCTGTACCATGAGCCCCATGATCACTAAGATCGTAAACTTCTCTCTCCAGGCTGGCCATGTCCCCTCTGCCCTAAAAACCGCTGTCATCATACCTCGTCTCAAAAAACCCTCCCTTGACCCGGGAGTCCTGGCCAACTACAGACCCATTTCCAACCTTCCTTTTCTATCAAAGGTGCTGGAAAAACTAGTTGCTGCTCAGCTCCAGGACTATCTAAACTCCAACAACCTATTTGAGAAGTTCCAGTCTCTCCCTCTCTCCTTATCCTCCTCGATCTCACTGCAGCTTTCAACACCGTCGATCACAGGATCCTCCTCCATCGTCTGCACTCCACCATCGGACTCTCTGACTCTCCCCTTGATTGGTTCAGATCATACATCACCGGGAGAACAGAGTACTTCTCCTTGGGCGAGGCAGAGTCGGGTACCCACAACTTCACCTGTGGTGTCCCTCAAGGATCAGTTCTCGGCCCCACCCTTTTCACACTCTACATGCTCCCCCTTGGCTCTATCATCAGCCGACATGGAGTATCATGCTGATGACACCCAATTGTACCTCAGGATCAACGGTACCTCCTCTGCAGCCCTGCCTTCACCCACACTCACTGCCTGCCTGGAGGAGATACAGGTGTGGATGAAGCAGAACTTCCTGAAACTCAACAGCTCCAAGACCGAAGCCATTATAGTTGGCACCCCACACCAGGTTCGGTCATCCACCATTACCACCATCACCTTCTCCGGCCAGGACATTACCCTCTCCTCAATAGTCACCAACCTGGGTGTGAAAATGGACGCCCATCTGACCTTTGAGGCTCACATTAAACAGCTGTGCAAGAACTCCTTTTACCACCTCAGGAACATCGCCAAACTCCGCCCCACACTCACTCTGTCTGACGCCGAAAAGCTGGTCCACGCCTTTGTCTCCTCCAGGCTGGACTACTGCAATGCACTCCTCATCGGGATCCCTAACAAAAGCATCCAGAAGCTCCAATTCTTTCAGAACAGCGCTGCTAGGATCCTGATGAGGGTGCGCAAATACGATCATATCACCCCCATCCTTAAAGCACTACACTGGCTCCCTGTGGAACTGAGGATCGAATTCAAGGTCTCCATCCTCACCCACCAGTGTGTCCATGGAACTGCCCCTCCCTACCTCAAGGAACTCCTCACCCCCCATACCTCCTTGCGGACCACCCGCTCCAGCAACTCCAACTTCCTCAAACCCCCCAGGACTAAGCTCCGTACTATGGGAGACCGGGCCTTCTGCTCGGCTGCTCCCAGTCTGTGGAATGCTCTCCCCGACCACATGAGAGCACCTCAGACCGTGGAGGCTTTTAAAAAGGCCTCAAAACCCATCTTTTCAGTCGAGCCTTTGCCTAGCCCTTTTTACCACCCTTTTATTTATTTCTATTTCTATTGTTTGTTTTTGTATTGCTTTTTATTAATTCTACCGATCTGTGTAATGTTTATTTATACTGTTCATGCTCACTGCTTGTAGCACTTCGGGATTTGAAATTAAATATAAAGTGCTCTATAAATGAAACACATTTATTATTATTATGATGTTAAAAATAAATCAAGATACTCTGCACTTTTAACGGCACAATGTCGGCAGGTCAGGTCCACAGCATTTCTGGAGCCTTCTCTCATCTGTGGCCCGTCTGGTCAGCTGCTGTAAAGATTAGTTTGGAGGCTCAGAAGTCCTAGACTTCTTACCCGGAGGAGGAGAGGTAGACCCTTCCCCAAGCTCCCGAGGACTAATGTCAAAATAATCTTCTAAATGTTCTGTAACATACCAGCGAGGTGGTTCCCTGTTATCCCTGCGGAGTCTCAGTGAGAGACCCCTCCTAGAGGCTGGCAACAAATGATCAGATAACTCTTCTCTCTGATATAAGCGTCCATCACCAACCAACCACTCAACAGAACGTCTCTAAAGGGACTGAAACATTGCAATAGTAAATATCACACATTTTCTTAAAGATATTGTTACATCTACTTGGTTTTAAATTCATTACCAACCAGGAGTTGGATAAACACCAGATACTACAAAAGGAGTTGGTCCAAATCTCCAAAGTGAGCAAACCTATTCTCTTTTTAGTGAGACCTGTGAAGACACCATTGCAGTAGTCGAGTCTACTGAAGATAAAGGCATGGACACGTTTTTCCAAATCCTGCTGTGACATTAGTCTTTTAATCCTAGATATATTCTTTAGGTGATAGTAGGCTGATTTAGTAACAGTTTTAATGTGACTGTTGAAACTCAGGTCAGAGTCCATGACTACACCTAGATTTCTGGCTCTATCTGTTGTTTTGAACATTGCAGACTGAAGCTCAGCGCTAACTTTTAAACGTTCTGACTTAGCTCCAAAAACCATTACCTCAGTTTTATCTTTGTTTAATTGGAGAAAGTTCTGACGCATCCAGTCATTGATTTGTACTCGATACCAAAGTCCTTCATTCCTCCCCATCCCACGTGCAATGACAGCTAGATATCGCTGCCTTATCCTGAGCAGAGATATTCAAAGCTCTTGGCTTTTATCTTTGTATATTTAATTCTACCTCCGTACAGAAAACAAATAAACCCATATTTAAAATCTAAAATCGGACCATTCTTGAATTAGATTTTGCTGATATGGTTTTTGGACTCCAACAACAAAATCAGAAGAAAGGCTTTTGTGTTCCTTTTTTCAGTTTTTGTGTTTTTGGGGATTTGTTTCTTGTGTTAAAGAGAAACACGTACACGGACCCATATCGCACATGTTCACCAAAGGGTTCAAATGACAGCAACAGAAACAGCTACTGATCTCTACGTGTAGCTTCTGATTGAACTGTTTTTTAGCTCTACTGAATCATATGCTTCATGTTTCAGGTCCTATCAGTTTATAGATGTGGGGGAGATGTTATACTTGATTAGAAGAAGTGATACCACAGTGTAGAAGTACTGGAACAAGAACAAGTCTGGTATTGAAATGCACTTAGGTCAAAGTATTAGGATCAATTAATGCTTAAAGTACCATCATTAATACGACTCGTCCAGTACGACTATTTCCATCATGATATATTATAGTCTGGATTCTAATCAATGATCCATTCATGTGAACATCACTTTGAATGTAGCAGCTGGTAAAGCTGGAGATCACTTGAATAACTTGTTATACTTCCAGGTATCTTTATCCATAACAGAACTTCATCATTAAAGTGTTGTTTTATTAATAATATGAACCTGCCAAGTAACCTCAAACTCATGTTGTGAATACATGTGATGTAGTATTATAAAACCATATACTCCAGTGAAGTCATTCAAACCTGTTCTTACAGTACTTGAGTATATGTACTTTATTACTTCCCACCAATGGTTTATAGAGAGCTGGAGTTAATGATCTGATTATCACTCGGAAGTATTCATAGTATAAATGATTCATGATTAAAATATGCTGATATCAATGAAGGAACATCTCTCTCTTGTTTCTCTGCAGAGCCTGGTGTTAGGCTGGTGGGAGGAGAGAGTCGCTGTGCAGGAGCTCTGGAGCTGGAACATCAGGGAGAATGGAGACCAGTGTGGGACTTTCTCTATCTCTGGACCCTGAAGGCAGCAGGAGTCGCCTGCAGAGAGCTCGACTGTGGCTCTGCTGTTTCTGTGGGAGAGAGAGAGGAGTCCTCAGAGAGACCTGTGTGGGGGATCAGCTCTGACTGTGTTGAGTCTGGATCTGCTCTGAGGGAGTGTGCAGCATCAGCTTCCTCTCAACACATCCTGAATCTCACCTGCTCAGGTAAGCCCATCTGTGACATCACCAGTGACATCATCAGTGACATCATCAGTGACATCATGGATGACATTTTCATTTTTTGTTTTTACAATTAAAAACACCCAAATATCAAATGATGAACAGTGGACGGAGCAGCCGGGCGTAGTGGGTGGGCTACTGGGTCTGTAGGCCCACCCACTCATTCATCAACAATGACTGAGAGAAAATATAGTTTACTGGATTTCTATTTTTGATTATCAAAATGAAAAATTAAATAATAAAATAAAAGCAGAAATAAGTTTCCCTTTAAAAAATGCATCCAATTAGAAACATCATTTATTAACGTGATCAGGCTTCTGTTGTGTGAGATGTTCTATCCAATCACAACAGGCCAGCGTCAAATGGCCTGCTGTGATTGGCCTACACAGCTCACATAGTTGAAGCGCGGCGCCAACACAACGTAGGACGTCCCACAGACCCCGCAGAGGAAGGAGGAACATATAGCACTCATTTACAGAGTCACAAGAATCCATGTTCAGAGTTTAGAAAGAGTGAGAGGGGAGAGGCCAGAGCCAGCATCCTCACAGCAGGGGCCGTCTCACTCCACATTCTGCCTCTCTGCTTGCTGTGTCCCTAACATGTATCAATGTGAACCAAAAGAGATGAACAAGCAGTTTTACATTTCATTCCACTCCTTGCAGCCTGGAGCACGGCTGATATGAAGAGTCCTGAAACCCACCGGGTTATTTGGAGCCTCCTCCTCTGGAATGATACCATTCACCATTTCATGGAAAACACCAGACCAAAATACAAACAGCTTGAATTCAATGATGACGCCATGTTTGAAGAACAACGTGTTTACACACATCAGTCAGATCACACATGTGAAACACACATGTGAGAGTAGAGAGTGAAACCTTTTGAAAGTGTGTGTGTGAGAGCAGAGGTGGAGCTGAGCAGAAGGAGCAGAGGGTCTGCAGAGGAGGAGGTTCTGTTGAAGACACAGGGGAAGGGTTCACTCATGGAGACCACTTGCTAGAGGCTATCAGGTGTAGATGTGAGGGTACCTGCAGTCTGTGCTCTTATCAACATGTGTTCTTTGTTCATCATCAACTCATGTTGGAACTGAGTCCAGTTTGAATCTGAAATATAGTTTCATCTCTTTGATGGTGTGTCTTTGACCTCTGTTTGATCTTCTGTCCTCTGCAGACTCTGTCAGGCTGCTGGGGGGGACTGCTCTGTGCTCAGGCAGACTGGAGGTGAACTCTGACCCGTCTGACCCGTCCTGGTCCTCAGTGTGTGAGGCTGACTTTGACCAGCAGGATGCTCAGGTGGTCTGCCGGCAGCTGGGCTGTGGGGCTCCTTCAGTCCTCCAGGGGGCGCTCTATGGAGAAGGGGAGGCTCCAATGGGGACCAAAGAGTTCCAGTGTGGAGGCCATGAGTCTGCTCTCCTGGACTGTAGCTCAGCCTCAGAGAGAAGCACCTGCTCACCTGGCACAGCTGTTAGCCTCACCTGCTCAGGTAGAGAGGAGCTGTGATTGGTTCATTCTGTTCTCATCAAACTCACTTTATTCTCTCTCTGATCTCTCTCTTGTTTCTCTGCAGAGCCTGGTGGTGTTCAGCTGGTGGGAGGAGAGAGTCGCTGTGCAGGAGCTCTGGAGCTGGAACATGAGGGAGAATGGAGACCAGTGGAGGGCCGTTTCTCTCTCTGGACCCTGAAGGCAGCAGGAGTCGCCTGCAGAGACCTCGACTGTGGCTCTGCTGTTTCTGTGAGACGGAGAAAGGAGTCCTCAAGGAGATCTGTGTGGAGGATCAGATCTGACTGTGTTGAGTCTGGATCTGCTCTGAGGGAGTGTGCAGCATCATCACTTTCCTCTATCTACATCCTGAATCTCACCTGCTCAGGTAAGCCCATCACCAGTGACATCATCAGTGACATCATCAGTGACATCATGTGTCTCTTTGTTGGTCAGTCTCTCTCTCTCTCTCGAAAGAGAGAGAGCGAGCAGTACGATGGCTCTAGAGAGCGAGGAGCTTCGCGAGGTAGAGAGAGCTAATAAGAGAGAGAGGAGAGAATCCCTCTCGCACCTCTCTCGCTTCTATCTCGCTTCTCCCCTCTCTCTCTTCTCTCTCTCTCTCTCGCTCTCTCTCTCTCTCTCTATCTCTCTCTCTCCCTCTCTCTCTCTCTCTCTCTCTCTCTCTCCAGATAAGCTGTTTCAGCCCAACATCTCTGTGTCCTCCTCCATGTACGGGGTCTCCGGGGCCCAGCAGCAGGGGTTCCAGGTGTTCAGAGGCTCCACCTTCAGCATCAGTTGCTCCATCCAGCCTCAGTACCCAGGAGGCTCCTTCCTGCTCAGCTCCTCCACTCACAACTACACCCAGCCAGCTGTCAATCACTCTGCCCACTTCCTGTTCCCGGCTGCAGAGCCCGCCCACCAGGGAAACTACAGCTGTGTTTATCACGTCTCTGCTTCTCCTCAGGACTCCTCCTCTGAGAGCCGCCTGCTCTCCGTCACCGTCACAGGTGAGCTGTTAGAGTTTACTGTAGGACAGAGCGTGATGCTCCCCAGGAGAACGCTGGTGAGTGTTTTACTGTGAGCCCTGAAGCAGTCACACCCTTACATCACATGTAGCTTTTCAGAGCAACGTACAATAAGTGCAATGAACCGTGAAGACATGAATCCAGAACACACATTCTCCACTCAGCTGTAGTTTACATTGGAGTAAACACATCCGATCACTTCTTCATTTCATTCTCTCTATCCCTTTCCAAACATAACAAACTAATCTCTTCCCATCCTACACTTGTCCGCCGTAACCTTCGCTCCCTCTCTCCCTCTACCTTTGCCTCGTCGGTGCTCTCAGCCCTCCCTTCCTCTGATTCGTTCCAACTACTGCCTCCAAACTCTGCTGCAGAAACTCTCCTCTCTACTCTCTCATCCACTCTGGACTCGCTCTGTCCTCTGACATCTCGGCAGGCTCGTCAGTCCCCTCCGGCTCCCTGGCTAAATGATGCACTGCGTGCTAATAGAACCGTCCTTAGGGCAGCAGAGCGGAAATGGTGGAAATCCAAACACCGTGATGACCTCCTAACCTATCAAGCTCTCCTCTCCTCTTTCTCTGCTTCGATCTCTCAGGCAAAAAGCACTTTCTTTCAAGATAAGATCCAATCTTCCTATTCCAATCCTAAAAAACTATTTTCCATCTTCTCCACCCTCTTGGACCCTCCCAAAGCTCCTCCCCCCTCCTCACTTCTGTCAAGCGACTTTGTTACCCACTTTGAAAAAAAGGTTAATGATATTCGCTCTTCTTTTTCTGACTCACCTTTACTCACCGCTGGGTCATCAGACCCTCCTTCCACCAACACACTTACCTCCTTTTCCCCTCTCTCTCCAAGTGAGGTTCTTACCCTCATTACCTCTGCCCGCCCTACCACCTGTCCTCTGGACCCTATCCCTTCAAACCTCCTTCAGACTATCGCTCCTGATATTCTACCGTTTCTCACCCATTTCATCAACACTTCTCTAACTTCTGGTCACTTTCCAAACAGTCTCAAGGAGGCAAGAGTAAACCCTCTCCTAAAGAAACCCACTCTCAACCCGTCTGATGTTATAAACTACAGGCCTGTCTCTCTCCTCCCGTTCCTGTCTAAATCACTTGAACGCGCTGTCTTTAAACAACTCTCCTGTTATCTCAATCAGAACAACCTTCTGGATCCGCACCAGTCTGGTTTCAAGGCAGGTCACTCCACAGAAACTGCTCTCATTGCTGTCACGGAGGAACTGCACACTGCCAAAACTGCATCCCTCTCCTCTGTCATCATCCTGTTGGACCTGTCTGCTGCATTCGACACGGTGAATCATCAGATCCTCCTTCGCACTCTCCAAAAACTTGGAGTTTCAGGCTCTGCACTTTCCCTCCTCACCTCATACCTGAAAGACCGTACCTACAGGGTGACTTGGAGAGAGTCTGAGTCCGACCCTTGTCAATTAACTACGGGGGTCCCTCAGGGCTCTGTTCTTGGTCCCCTCCTCTTCTCCTTGTACACAAACTCGCTCGGATCAGTCATTAGCCCGCATGGTTTTTCTTACCACTGCTACGCTGACGACACCCAATTAATTCTGTCCTTTCCCCGCTCAGAGACCCAGGTCGTCGCACGCATCTCTGCTTGTCTAGCTGACATCTCTCAGTGGATGTCTGCTCACCACCTCAAGCTCAACCTTGACAAGACTGAGCTGCTCTTCCTCCCGGGAAAAGATTGTCCAACTCTTGACCTGACAATCAACATCGGCACCTCAGTTGTTTCCCCGACTCAGACTGCAAGGAATCTGGGTGTGACCCTAGATAACAACCTGTCCTTCACTGCAAACATCGCTGCTACAACCCGCTGCTGCAGATACACGCTTTACAACATCAGGAAGATACGTCCCCAGCTGACTCAGAAAGCGACTCAGGTTCTGGTCCAGGCTCTCGTCATCTCACGCCTAGACTACTGCAACTCCCTCCTGGCTGGTCTACCTGCATGTGCCATCCGACCTCTGCAGCTCATCCAGAATGCAGCGGCTCGTCTGGTTTTCAACCTTCCTAAATTCTCCCACACCACTCCGCTCCTCCGCTCCCTTCACTGGCTTCCGGTAACTGCTAGAATCCACTTCAAGACACTGGTACTTGCTTACCGTGCTGCGAATGGATCTGGCCCTTCCTACATCCAGGACATGGTTAAACCGTACACCCCAGCGCGTGCACTACGCTCTGCATCAGCCAAACGACTCGTTGCGCCCTCGCTGCGAGGGGGACCCAAGTTCCCATCGGC